CTAGCTGGTTTATCCCCCGGGATATTAAACTCTTCGTTTCAACCAGGTACACTTTTTACTTGCTTTGTTTTATCCTTCACAGTGACAATGTCGGTCTAACTTAAACATCTTGTGGCAGTTTATTATCCGTTGCTGGGATATTTCGGTTTTGGAGATCCCGTAGAGGCAGAAGAACATCGGAGACGTAACCCAAACTTCGATTTGAAGAACAAAGTCGGAAAAAACAAAAATCTTCGATCAACCGAGATGGCTGGACGCATGAATCTCCTTAAGGCATGGAAAAAGAACCCCAACCGACCTAAAAGTGCTTCCGGTGAGCCTTCAGCGACAAGGGTGGAGCCAACACCGGCTATCGTGAATGAGCCAGTAGCTGCCGACATCACCCCCCTTGATGTTTCCCCGTTGCAGCAAGTGATGACGCCAGTGGATGAGCCTACTGCGGTGACCGGCGTCTCGCAAGAGGTGCCGGAAGAGCCTTGCTTGAATGTAGTCCAACGGCGCAAGAGGTCCAGTGTATCTCACGTGGCGGAGAGGATGAAGAAAGAACAAGATACCGGCGCCGACAAGGACAAAGAGGAGGAACCCGAAATCATTTTGAGGGATTCCTTCCTCAAAGTAAATGAAAAGAAAGCTGCAGAGCTAAAGCTGCCAGAGGATGTGTTTGATCCCTGGTTCACAATGTTTCAGACGGTCGCCGAGCCAAAAGTCACTATCAACCATCGGATCCCCAGTGAGGCGATGAAGGCGGCGAAAGTTCTGCTAATGTCATGGGATCCGAAGACTCACGCCGGGATTGCCTCTCTGCCTGACGATCAGAAATTTAGCTATGCCCGAGGTTGTTTGGGACGGGCGCTTGTTAGCTTTATTGCTGCTGAGGAAAGTTATCGGGGTAGAGTGCATGAGCTTGATGAGAAGCAGCACGAATTGAGTCTGAAGGAGGGTGCCATAGCGTCCTTAGAGGATGAGAAGTCTCGTTATGAGGCAACGATATCGGAGAAGGATGCTCAGCTGATGGCGGCACAAACCGAGGCGAGTGCACTGAAAACTGAAAAAGAGAATCTCTTACTGGCTCATGACCTCATGTCGGTTCAGCTGGCCAAAGTTGAAGAAACGGCCAGGGAAAAAAATGACCAGCTCATGAGACTAAGGGCTGAGCTTCAAGCTGTCCGCAAGGACCGATCTGATAAGGATGCTAAGCTAATCCGATGTCGCGAGGCTGATGAAATTGCTATGGGTAAACTCCGACAAGAAATGACAACCGCAGCTGAGCTCAAATTTCAAGAAGGCATAGATGTCGGTAAAAAATCTGTGGCGGATGCTGTGACCCGATGGGATCTAGAGTTAAATGCCGCGTTGACAGTACGCTGGGTTATCGACCGAGTAGAAAATGGAATTTACACCATCGATGAGCTGCGCGTCTTCCTTCTACAGAAAATGGAGAAGCATCGCCTCAATCCCGAGATCAAGAATGCCCACATCCCAGCGGATCAAGATGAGCGAGATTTCACCGACCGACTCCTAAAGCAGAAGGAGAGTCGGATGCTAGAATTGGATATGGTGCCTTTGTCGGAGGAGCGTAAGGCTAAAATTCGCCGGGCGTTCGTCAATATGGTCCTTGAGGTGGAGAAGGCCAAAAAACCGGAAATGGCAAATATATGCGTGGAGACAATTGCTGAGGCATTTCTCGTTGAGACACTTGAAAGCCTATCCGATGAAGAACTCTTGGGCGCAATTACCAGCTTCGCCTTACGAAAGGTGGCGGAAGACGACGCCAAGGCCAAAGGATGGTTGGTTGAGCCAGTCCCCTCCGACGATGATCGAGTTTTACACGATGATGATGATGTCGTCATCATAAAAGAAAGCGATGTCGTCCGAGTTTTGGAGGAGAAGGAAGAGGAGGTGATTCAACGCTTAAGCCAAAGGTTGATAGACCATCTGAATGCTGCAGCTAAAGGCAAAGCTGAAGCCGGGAACCCTCAATCTTCAATAACTGGAGGGGAGTCGTCATCGGGGACGCATAAGGATGAATGAGATCTTATATCGGTTGTATGTTTTTATTTTCTTTTTCTTGATTTGAAATGTAATGACAATTTCTTATTATGAATGAAACTTGCTGTTTTGATTTCGTGTTTTATGAATGTATTGTTTTGACATATTTATTGTAACAAGTCAAAACATGTCGGAGTAAAGATAAATGAATGTTTAGTAGATTATGCTTGTAATTACTCCGATGTGTTACCTGGCACTTACACTTTGCCTTGTTATGAGCTTGTTTAATTTTTAGTGTCGGCATAATTTATAGTATATCCGACATCTGCAAACTCTTTATCAGAACAAGTTGTAAAAAACTTGCTTTTATTGCAAATATTTATTGTGTGCTCATCAAATCAACGTCGGGATTTGATATTATAAAACATATGCCTCCCCAAACCATCTTCAGGGCTTAGAAGTATCCGGCTTTGTCGTGTTTGGCTAGGTCATACCAACTTCAGGGTATGAAACACGTTTAGCCTTAGAAACGAGGACCGATTTATTGTGGTCCGAGTGATCGAAAAAATTATAGTGGTTCGTCACACAAACTTTATTGACAACAAAATGCGATTCTTGTACATGAGTAGGACAAAAGACTTTCATACATCGGAGACAGAGGTTTGGCCTTCAGGGTTACTGGTAGTACTTCTTCAGATAGGTTGCGTGCCAAGGATACTGAAGGGGAACACCATCTAGAGTCCCAAGTCGGTAGGTATCATTAGAAATCAGACGATTCACTTTAAAGGGTCCTTCCCACTTCGGTTGTAACGGACCAACATTGGCCCCAGTGATTCTTTTCAGCACAAGGTCTCCTACGATAAATGAACGTGGCTTGAGTCTTGAATTGATGTACTTCTCACTACGTCATTTATAAGCGGCATTTCAAATTTCTGGTTGGTTCGTATTTCATCGACTAAGTCGAGATTGACTCTCAAGTTTCCTAAGTTAGATTCATCAGAAAAATGGGTAACCCGGTACGTCGGTGAAGTGAGTTCAGCGGGTATCACAGCTTCAGTTCCGTATGCTAACGAAAACAGAGTTTCCCAGTTGAATTTCGTGTCGTCGTCCGGTAAGCCCAGAGGACATGGGGTAGTTCATCAGGCCACGATCCCTTTGCAGTCTCAAGCCGAGTTTTCAAACCATTCTTGATAATCTTATTTATAGCTTCTATCTGTCCATTAGCTTGTGGATGGTAAGGTGACGAGAAGAAGTGCTTGATGCCATAATCTTCACAAAAGCCTTCAAATCGTTTTCCCTCGAACTGAGGACCGTTGTCGGTTATGACAGAGTTCGGTATTCCAAACCGACAAATAATTGACTTCCAAACAAAATCGATCATCTTTTGTTCAGTGATGGTTGCAAGGGGTTCGGCCTCAACCCATTTAGTGAAGTAATCAGCAGCTAATATTGCAAACCGAACACCTCCTTTTGCTGTCGGAAGTGGGCCAATCAAATCAATTCCCCATTTTGCGAACGACCATGGGCTATATATTGACTTGAGGAGCTCAGGATGTTGATTAACGTTGGGAGCAAATATTTGACACTTGTGACATTTTCGCACCCAGTCTGCGGCATCTTTCCTGATAGTCGGCCAATAGTAGCCTTGTCGGAGAATCTTGTGGGACAAAGCTTGTGCTCCTTGATGAGTACCGCAGACTCCTTCATGTACTTCTTGAAGAACACGTCGGGCGTCAATTTACGACAAGCACTTGAGCAATGGAGTAGAATATCCACGCTTATATAATGTTTCTTGATCAATTGTGAAATGAGCAGCACGAACACGAAGGGTGCGAGCTTCCTTTGGGTCTTCGGGTACGGCCCCGGTTTGAAGGTAGTTGATGACTGGATCCATCCATGTCGGGTCCGGGATCGGTGAAGCAGCATCGATCATGACGACGTCGGTAGAAACTGTTGAGGAGGTCGCCTGTTGAGTAATTTGCACAAACTCGACATTTTTCAAATCGGTTGAAGAGGCCAAACGCGAAAGAGCATCTGCTTGGATATTAGATGACCGAGGTATATGTTCTAACGTCATTTTGAACCGTGATAGCTTCTTCTTGACGAGATCAAAATAAGGCAACAACCGTGGTTCCTTAACTTCGTAAGTGCCATTAATATGGCTGACTAATAACTGAGAGTTAGAAAATATTCGGAGAGAGGAAACATTCATGGATTCGGCAAAGTGTAGGCCTGATAAGAGGGCCTCATATTCAGCTTCATTGTTGGTGGTCGGGAAAGTGAATGCTACAGAGTAACAAAACACTTGTTGATCAGGACTAACTAAAACAATTCCTCCCCCAGCTTGTATAGCGGTGGACGATCCATCAATGTAAAGAGTCCATGTCGGATCTTCAATAGATGTACTGACAATTGGGGTAAACTCTGCTATGAAATCAAATAACACTTGGGCTTTGATGGCAGTTCGTGGTCGGTACTGAATATCAAACTGTCCCAGTTCTATTGCCCACTTAATCATTCTTCCCGATGTGTCAGGTCGATGGAGTACTTGTCGGAGAGGATATGATGTGAACACAATAACAGAATGCTCCATAAAATATGGGCGCAGCTTTCGTGAAATGATGATCAGAGCAAAGGCAAACTTCTCCATATACGGATATCGTAATTCAGCGTCATGTAAGGCCTTGCTAACGTAATATATCGGGAACTGCTGAAGTCCATCTTGTCGTATAAGAACAGCACTAACAGCAACGTCACTTACACCCAAGTACAAATACAAAGGTTCATCAGGAAGAGGTTTCTGCAACGTCGGTATCCATGAAAGAACTTCTTTGATGTTGTCAAAAGCATTCTGACATTCCACGGTCCATTCGAACGGCTTCTTCTTTCTGATAGTGTCAAAGAACGACTTACAATGATCCGTCGACTTTGAAATGAATCGGTTCAGAGCTGCCAGTCGACCAGTTAAAGCTTGGACACCTTTAATAGATGTCGGGGGAGCCAATTCAAGTATGGCTTGGATCTTGGCAGGATTGGCTTCGATTCCTCTCTGACTCACCATGTATCCTAAAAATTTCCCTGATCTAACTCCAAAGGTGCACTTCTTAGGATTAAGCACCATGGAATATTCTCGGAGAATATCCAAGACTTCAGATAGATGAGCGATGTGATCAGAGGCTTGTTCCGATTTCACCAGCATGTCGTCTACGTAAACTTCCATTGTATGACCGATCAAACGAGAAAACATCTTATTGACCAACCTTTGGTATGTGGCCCCAGCATTCTTCAATCCAAAAGTCATCATGACATAGTAATAAAGACCTCGGGCTGAGTAGAACGATGTATGTTCAGCATCATTAGGGTGCATGGGAATTTGATTGTAACTGGAATAGGCATCCAAAAAGCTCATGAGTTGATGTCCCGATGTAGCGTCTACCATGTAATCAATGTGTGGAATCGGATAGCTATCTTTCGGGCATGCTTGATTCAAATCCGAGAAATCAATGCACAGACGCCAAAGGCCAGTGGCTTTCTTAACCAAGACAGGATTTGATATCCACGTCGGGTATTTGGCTTCTTTGATGAACTTGTTGTCTATGAGCTTGTTCACTTTCTCTTTAAGAGCCTTCTGGCGATCTGGGCCGAATTTTCGGCGTTTCTGTATGACGGGCTTGACGGTCTTATCCAAATTTAAGCGATGACATGCTTTCTGCGGGTCTATTCCTTTCATGTCTTCGTGTTTCCAGGCGAATACGTCGGAATTTGACTGAAGAAATTGAATTAAGCACGAACGTGTGGGTTCTTGAAGGTTAGCTCCAATGCGCAATGATTTTTCCTGAGTCAATCCATCCACGTAAATAGTTTCGATTTCTTCGACTGGTTCCGCTCGGGCATGATGATTCCTATCTTTGAATTGCATCTGTGGATCTATATCTTTGTGTATTCCTATGTCTTTCTCATGAAAAGATTGTTCTTGATCAAGGGCTTCATTTAGTGTTTCAGGCAAATTCGACGTCACAGGGACATCGGTATCAGTAAGAAGAGGGATGTCGGTATCTAAAGCAAATTGATTAGTCCTTTGAGCATCAGGAGGAGTTAGATTTTTCAACTCATTAGAGTTATCAGTATCCTGCTCTTCAATCATATGAAAGTTACGCGAGGTTGAGAGCAACGTCAAACTTCGTGCTTCTCGTTGATCACCATAATGAGTGTCTTCTCTTTCAATGGTAGGGAACTTCAAGGCGTAATGAAAAATTGACACGGCAGCACGGAGCTTGTAAAGTGCAGTTCGCCCTATAACAGCATTATATTCATTCTGGACATCCAAGACTTTGAAAGTCTCCATAATAATCTTGGATTTTGGTCCAAAGCCGCCAAATCGAATAGGGAGTAATATTTCGCCGACAGGGCAAGAGATGCTTCCATTGAAACCTTGAATTTGGTCGTTGCAAGGTCTAATATCTGCTGGGTCCAAACCCAATTTCTTGAAAGTACGGAGTATCAAAATACTTGAATAAGCTCCTATATCGACCAAAATTCGGTGGACGGGGATCCCTCCAATCGGAGCTGTGATAAGAAGGGCGTCAGAATGAGGATGAGCAAATAGGTTGGCATCTTCGATACTGAATGTAATAGGACAATTCCGCTTATTAATGGTATCTCGAAGATCAACGTTCATGACTCGTTTCTCGGCATTTTGTGCCTCCCCGGCATAGGCTTTGGCTTTCCGTCGGGAAGTGTCCAGATGTTTATTATTAGAATTGACTCGAGGTATGCAATGTGAAGAGTCTGAGGTATCATGTGTCCTGGATTTTTTGCAGTTATCGGTCGAAGTTCCGACAAGAGTAGAAAATGTAAAAACCTCCTTATTGTTTGCGCGGGCTCTTTTCGGGTTAACAGGTCGATTATCATCATCTTCATCATATGAAAGATCTAAGGGCCTCCCTTTCCGGTGATTATCAAAATTTCAGAACTTTTAAAGTTGAGGTTGTCCAATTAACTGTAAGAGGGCTGACAAAAGGCCGAGACACTCATCGGTATTATGTCCCGGAGACTTGTGGTATGCACAGTACCGAGTTTTGTCTAGCTTGTCTTCAGGAGTTCTCACGGGTCTCAGGTCTGGAATAATCCCTTTTCCTTTCAGTTCTTTGTATATAGTAGCTGCTCCGGCTGAATAAACGGCCTGATAGCCTGTCCTGACATTGTCTGAATATTGATAACGAGCGGCCCTAGAATCTGGAGTATTTTCATATTCTTTGGAGAAATTCCGAAATTGTGCTTTCCCAAAGTTCTTCTTATTCTTCTTTTTAGCATCCGGTTCAGTCTTGTTTTCTTTCGCCGAGAAGTCGAAACTGGGAACCGACATCGATTCCTCGGCAATAATGAATTGTTGAGCTCGTACAAGGAATTCTTGAAACGTAGCCGGTTTCTTTTTGCCTTAGGGTCCAACGAAACATCGAGTTGGGTTGCAGTCCAGCGATTGCGGTCACTAACAGGGTCTCAGGGTGACAAGGCTCCATATTCTGAATTCGGTCGTTGAACCGAGATACGTAGTCCTTAACAGTTTCATCGTTCTTTTGCACGATGTTAGTGATTGATTCTTTTGGGATGAGACAAACTTGAGCTCCGATGAAGTGTGATCGGAAAGCCGCGCGTAACTGTTGCCACTTCCAAATTGAATGAGGTGGAAGAGTATAGTACCATTTTTGTGCTCGTGGCCCCAGTGTAAGCGAAAAAATTCGACATCTTAAAGCATCTGAGGCTCCATGCAAATCCATCCACGACGTATAATGACCCAAGTGCGCATCTGGGTCCGAAGTTCCGTCATACATGCCAATTTGTGGGATTTTTACCTTAGCAGGGAGTGCTTCCGCGGTAAGTTCTAGAGCTAAAGGTGAATCAGCTTCAATAATGACATTTCCCAACGACGAGACATGTCAGGGAGAATCTTCCTGTGACTTCTGTCGAGTCTCAAGTTCGGCCAAGCATTTACGGAGAACTTCAATTTCCCCTGCACTATGTCTTGAGATACGATTCCGTTCAATCTGACGCTGTAAATCTTCACGAACATGAGGCATCGGTGAAGTAGGTCTAGGACGTGACGGAACTCGCTGATGATGAGCAGAGTGGCTTTCAGCTGTCATTTCCTGTACGGGGGGTTCCTCCGGGGCCTGGTTGTTTGTTACTGGGTTAACGGTTATACGAGTTAACTCCTCTCGACGTGGAGAAGTATGGTGTGGTTGAGACGTAGCATGGGATGTCGCCGCATGTGTTTCAGGGTCATGACGAGTATGATTTGGATGTTCTGTTGGATTGGTAGCAAACGACATTGATAATGGCACCGTAATAGAGTTTCTGGGCATGGCTCGCGCTATCAGAGAGGTTAAACCTTGAATAAACTCCGGGTTTTGAAGGAAGTTCGTGATATTCGTGACCGGAGGCGGTGGTGTTGAACGTCGTGGGGAATGGTTAGTTGATTGGCTCTGGCCAGGATGAGCTGTATGGTCTCGGCCAGATTGCGACATGGTGACTTCGAGCGCGAAAATGGCTATAACAGCGAAAGTTAACCTCAAAACGTGATGAGCCCTTCCTCTAGCGCCAAACTGTTGTTAAACAGAAATTAACAACTATATGATAAAATAAAATTTATCGTGTGTTCAAGATAGGTTAACAAAGATCGTATGAAAATCTGAATGAAATAGAATTTTCCGAATATTATTGTATATTTCTCGTGTCTGGCTGGAGAATCTATTTTCTCCTTTTATATTACATTACAATACTTATCAGTAACATAATCATTACATGGGAAAAGTCAATGGCGGCTAATTGCCATTCATCCTGGTAGCATGCCACTTGGCCAGGCGTAATGATGAGTTGTGCTGAGTTGGCACCGCCTTATGGTGTCGGTTTTGCAAGTCATAGATATCGGCTCACGTAGTTATAACCGATATATCATATCCGACATATAGTAACCGACATGTCATAACCGACATGAGATATCGGTCAATTGACGAAGATATCGGTTCTCGATCAATTTTTACCCGATATGTGATTGTCTTGAGACCCGTGAAGACATCATCCACTTGTATGAGTTTAATCATCCTCCTACTGAGCATAATCACCTGATCAGTGTTGCTTAACTTGGTTTACTGAAAACGATGTCAACAGGTTCATCACAACATCCCAAAATTAAACATACTCAAACAGGAGTTTTCAAAACAGTTTTCATGTCTTAACCCAAAACAAGGTTCCACACTAAAACATTTATTCATATGTGGAAGCATAAATAATCATAATCATAAGACCGACCCACTCGTCTTCCCTTGTCACCCGACACCTGTTTAACCTGCATCCGTGAAGAGCAGGTGGGAGTGAGCACAAAATGAATGTAGTGCTCACTACTATGCACATATATAAACATGTCAAAATGGTATGGTCGCAACATGAATATAAGATAATCAATCATGTCTCATCTCCTACAAATCACAACAAATCACATTACTCCTGTTCACATCTATCGCTAGCCGCAGTTCGGGGATCCATTACCCGAAGGCGGGAGTACATGCCACGCTACGGACACGACCTTTCATATGGGCTTACGTACCTCGCAAGGGCACGGCAATATCAAGCTTAAGGAGACTTGCCTCACAAGGGCAACCGTATTACATCGACAGGGACAACCGTACCGACGACCGTAACAACTCACATCAATAGGCTATATATTTCACATTCATACATAGATCAAACTGACTCAACATAAACGAAACACATATACGGCAAAGAAATTTTATAAATAAACCCACATGGACACAAAGATATAGCCAAACACAGGATTTAAGTACTAATGGCATAAGTTCAGCTCGATGAACCTACAACAATTATAATAGCCTATCAACTGACTATCCAATACAAGACAACACACAAAGCACATATACTTAGCCGAAATCATATCGACTAAGTGACTCGTGGATTCCTTGACCGAGTTAAGTACAATGGAGTGACTACTAGACCTGAACATAACTCATATACCTCAGGTAATACACATAAATCATGCCAGCATCAATAAAATCCAACCCAACCCTAGATAACGGATAACCGAGCATTAAGACTCCAAAATAAACAAATTCCGAATCCGGAGTTAGACTCAACCAATCAACCTGAAACTTTACCACATAGCAAGGCATACAAAAACACATAATCTCAACAAGTTTCAGCCCTAAATTCATCCGATAACATTTTTAAATAACTTAAGCAAAAACGGCGCCAAAATCCGATGTTAATAGTTCATATATCTAAACTTCGAATTTTTATCTTCAACATTTACTCCAACTGTACGATTTTTAATGAATTTTACAAAATTCTGACCAGAAACCGATTTAATTGATTAGAATAGCTACAAATGGAGTTTCGACTTGAAAATTTTACACGACTTACAAAATCATCACAGGAAATCACATATAAAATATCATGGCATTCAGAAAATCACACTATTTATCATGAATTAATTACAATTCAGAAGCATGCTCGGTTTAGAAAATTCATAACGCATGATATACATATCGAAACAATCTCCAACCAAAACCAATAAATCAAGGACAACTCCAAGTACCTATAACTCCAGGATTTTCACGCAAAATACCACTCGAAACTCAATTAGATAATGACCAAAGTGACGTCAATCACTTTGATATCCAAAACGCATATAAATTATCATAATTCGTACAAACACATATCCAAGGCACGTAACTAACTCGTAATCCACACGTTCAGCACATAATATAACACAATTTCACAAACGCGAAATCAAAATGATACGG